GGCCGGGAGCGAGCGCACCCCGCCCTTCGCTGGCGCTGTGGCCGGGCGAGCGGGGAAGAAACGAGGCTGGGCCGCCCGGAGAGCACCGCTTTGGCCCCTGCGCGCTCTCCGCGACCTGGTGTATTTGCTGCGGGGAGCGGGGGCCGTCCTCGGAGCCTTGACAGAGAGGCCTGAAAAGATTAGGAAAACGTTGTCCAAGCAACTATGGGTCTGTGGCTTAATGGTCGACTGCGACCTTATTGCTGCCACCTCTGTTCTTCACCTCCTCCTTCCGCCTCTCTGTCTATCGCCTCGTTCGCCGCCTCGCGCACGACCGGCCGCGGAGTCTCGTGGTGGCTCGAGCGCCGGCCGCAGAACGTGGGACCCGTGTTAGCCCAGAAGTCCTCGCACAGATTTCGTGGCTGGAAAAATGTAGCTGGCAGGGAACAAAATATCAGTTCTTTATTAAATTGCAGTGGAGATGCTGCTCTGGACTCGCTGGGTTTCAGTAAAAATGAAGCCCCTAAATCGCTTAATTTCTCCAGAGTAACAGCCATGTTCCTCTCGTGTTTCGGTGCAGCCGTGGTAGCGCTGCGGTGCCGGGCACCTTCCGGAACTAGAACGCTCGCATGAGCGCAGTCTTGCAGACGAGTGCAGCCCGTCTCCAAAAAGTGCCCGTAGATCTGCCCAGCCTGCTGATGAAACGGAAACCGCGGCTCCTTGCTGAGTGATTGCAGGCCACAAGTCCGCTGGTAGGAACAGTGGTGACTTCCACAAGCCTTTTGGTTACACGTCCCATTGTGCCCCGTTTGAGAAGTGCTTTCGTATCTTCATAGATGATTATTTCTTGAAACGCTAGTTCTGGAGCGCAGATTCAGCTGCTGCTTTTGTCTTGTTTCTAGATGGAAGTGGAGCTGGTTCAGGAAGTAACTGGATTTGAACTGCAGAGTAAAATGAGATCTGGGTATAATGAAATTATATATATTTAACTAAATTCTCTTCTGTTAAAGGGATTGTACAGAAATGGGTACAAGCAACCCCCAGTTAGCACTCTTAAATGGTTCCTGGAAAACCGAGCGTTAATCAAAATGGAAAGGTTTTGAGGACCGGAGATGGTGACTGTGAGCATTATAATGAAACTCGCTGACCGCTAAGTGGCATTGGGTATCAGTTTAAAATGAGTGTAGCACTAAGTGAAGCAGTGTTAAGCAGGGGTCGCCTGTATTCTAGAATTTATCTTTAGCAAGGTCTAAAAACAGGCAAGCTGGTTCAAGAGAATCTAGAGACAAAAGTTAAGAAAATAAAATTATTAAAATGAGTCATAAGACTTCTTATACCTGGCTTATGAGTCTTGGGATGGATTCATTCCAACTTAAAAAAAAAAGAATGTAAGAAAAAGGAAAAATACTCTTGTTAAATAACAGGGTGCCAAACATTTATTCAAACCAAAGAAAAACCCCATCCTTCATGAAGCAGAAATCAGGCTGAGTTAGGTTTGTTTGGGGGTTTTTTGCCAATAAAATGTATAATTCTTCAGGTAAGGTGAACTTTGAAAAACAAATAGCAAAAAAAAAAATGTCTGTGCACATCTGAAGTAGGAACTTGCCATCGCTTTCTCTCTCAATGAAGAAGAATACAGGTATTGTAGAGGGGCTAAGCAGCTTCTTTGGATCAGCCTTTACTGACAGAAATAAATGCTTACCCCACTTATTGGGGAAATAGATGGGCATGAATGGATTAAGGTTTAAGAGGAGGAACTGCTGAAACAAATGAATAACAGCACCATTTGCCCTGACTAGATGGTATTCGTCTCGGAGTTCTGAAGGACCTGGCAGTACAGCTTTCTTCTGAAAAGTGGCTGTATAAAACTGGTTCCTTTTTGATACAGTGCATCCTGTGTACATTCAGAGCTGGAGCTGCCCACATGCTGCTGCCTGCTTTGAAAGCTGAAGAGGCAGCACAGATGAGAGAGCACTTGAGTGTATGTCTGTACAAGAGACTAACGTAGAGCTACCTGAGTAGGCTTTAAACGAGCTACCTCGGGCACTGGAAGCAGTGTAGCTGCAGCATTTTGGATCTCTGCAGGCTATTCTCAGCAAGGAAAATTAGCCTGTACTGAACTCTGTGTTGCTGCAGTGCAGCAGCTACCTTGGGTGCAAGAAAAACGTTTAAAGCCAGTGCAGTAGCTGGGTGTTACATCGTAGTCTGCAGACATAACCCAAATGCCAGTTCTTGTGCCGTGACAGATGTGTTCAAGTTCTGGTCAGACGGTTAGTTAACTACTGAGCACATCAGTTCACCTGCAGAACCTTTTTCTTGGTATGTTGTATGAGGAAGAGAGGCTGTAGCTTGCTTCCCCATGCAGGAGGAGTTTGTAGTCTGACGAGCTGTGGGGAAAAAAAGCTTTGTCAACTGAATGTGATGAATTGTGGGGAGCCAACCTAGTTGTTGTAACAGGCCTGCCAACTTGGTATCCAAGTTCTTCAAGAGAGAGCCTCCAACCAATAACCTAGAAAACAGAACCACATGAGACTAACGATGTCACATCCTACAGTCAGCCTGGTTGGACTGCTAACAAATAGCTTTTAAAGCCAGCTGTTGTATTAGAGAATTGGAGGTAATCATTGTTGGACTTGCTTTTTTTAAAATTTTTCAAGAGGTAGGTGCAGAGGGTAATTTTTTTTTTTAACTATTACAGGCCATTTGATTTGTCCAGTGTCTGGTAAATTAGCTGAGGGGAAAAACGTTTTTATATCTCCATAGTTGGGCATGTTACAAATTTGTTGATGTACCAAATTATGTTAAATATTTTTTTTTTTTCTTGTAAACCCAAGCAGTTGGAATTTATGAATACTATTGGGCAGGCAACCTTTAGTGCTGGAATAACTTGGTCTGCCCTGGGCTCAGCCCCGTGCTGTCACCGCCCCATGATCCCAGGGTCTCCATGGAGCCCCGCTCGGGGCCTGCAGACAGTCTGCTCATCTGTGGGGATGAGAAGAGGCCACAGGCGGGCAGGGAGCAGCGTCTGGGAGCAGGATGGGTAGGTTAGGGTTAGGATCTTGCGGCAGTGACAGAGCTAAGCTGGAACCCAGGGCAGAACTGCAATCTGCTCCCCACATACCCCTGCCTGTGGAACCAGCACCCATCACGGGGATGTGTGGGCAACAAGTCATGGCTCTGCCCCGGACTCTGACCCTGTGCTGTCACCGCCCCAAGATCCCAGCCCCATCCCATCCACCTGGCTGTGTGTGCTGCCCATGTGGGTCCTAGGCCAGTCTCCGTGTGTCCACTCCACTCTGTCCAGTGCTGGGTGTGACATGGACTGGCTGGGGTGTCAGGGTGCCCAGGCAGCAGGGCTTGGTCCAGGGGTAGTGGTGACACTAGTGGCGGCAGCCGGAAGGAGCTGTCACCACCGCTGGAGCTGCCAGGAAGCAAGCCTTGCTGCTGTGGTGGCCCAGCCCTGGTGCATGCCTGGAGGTGGGCTGGATAAAATCTCTTGGTGGGCTGGATTTGGCCCATGGGCTATATTTCTGCCTATCCCTGTTCTGTATAGAATCACTCGTTTAAAGTCATTGCCATCTCCCGTTGTTCTCAGTGGCACTGAGTGTGCAACTTGCTTTTCATTAAGAATGCAAGTGCCTCAGTTTATCTGATCCTTGTTTTGGTTTGTTTTACCTCTTCCTCAGGAACTGCTCAACTCCTGTTGGAAGCAGTAAGAAATGGAGGCTTGCCAAAATCTTTCCCTTCAAAAACAAAAAAACCTCAGAAAAAGTGTCCTTTTACAAAATGGTCACTAACAAATACACTACTGGTTGTGAAAAATATTCAGAATTATTATAACTTATTTTTTCTTTAAAAAAAAAAAAAAAAAAAAAAAAAACCCAACAAACTCCTTGTGTGTCGGGCAAACTAATTAAGGAGGATGTGGGTTGGGATGGAAACTATCAGTGTTGGGTATGTATGTGAGAACCAAGTGGCATAAAGCAGCCAGAGTCCCTTGGTGAATCCAGTCCTGAAACTTATAAATACACCAAGATTGAAACTATGCATCTTCAAATTGCCAGAAATATACAGTAGCACGCGCTAGATTTCTTGTTCAGGGTTTGTTTACAGGCGTGTTATAATTATTCACAACGTAGGCATAACATTTGGGAAATTTTAGGATGGAGTAATCTTAAAAGAAAGACAGCATGTGACAACACATGGCAGAAAGGGGGGGAAAAAAAGGACTGACGTGAAAATCTTGATCTACATAGCACTAACCTTCAAAAATACTTTATTTGTATCACTGTTTCATGATGTCACAACACAATAGTTAAGGCTGTTCAGTTCCGTAATTGAATATTTCTGTACCCTAATTCTAATTATCTTTTTAAATAGTGGTTAACCTCAATTGTAAGTCTATGTTTTAACGTGGTTTATGGATAATTCTGAAAGCCTCTGTCCTTTTTCCTAAATTACTTGTATATGGCCTTATATTTCTGTCTTGGCATCTGGAGGTGATGAATCATTTGACCAGGAAGGTATTTCTAACTTTTGGGTTGGATCATAGTTGTGCCTGCATGTGTCTGATGTCTAACATAAGTGGCTGTTCCTTTGCAGGTAAAATGGATGATGTACTGGATTGTATTCGCCTTCTTCACTACAGCAGAAACACTCACGGATATCATTCTTTCTTGGTGAGCATCCTGGTTGCTTGCTCTTTATGGGGAGTAGAGGAAGAACGTTTGGCTACGGCTTTCTCTGGTGTTCTAGGAGTGTTCTCCAAGAGTTACAATAGGAAGCTTTCTAGCCCCCCCGTATGCTGTTTCTACCCTTGGGAGCCGTCAGAAGGCTTGTGCCTCTCTAGCCCCAGGATTCCTGCTTTTGAAGCCATTGTGGCCAGCAGCTCTGAGTTCTTAGATACTTTGCCTTGTGTAGGCATAAATGGCTGTGCCAAATGTTTGACATCTAGAACAGGAGATCCTATGACATATGAGACTGATGTTCTGACTCTCCATGTAATGTTAGGGCAGGTTTAATAATAATAATATTTTCTTAAGGTGCTATTTGAATCGCTGAAGGTTAGGAGCTGTAGATCTAAAGAAAGTGGAAGGAGAATAAGAAGGTTTGAGGGACATTGGAACTTTTGCTTTGGGAAATTCAGGCTTTATAGAAGAGGCTGGGAAGGGTTCAATTCAATTGTGCCTGATGTTTTGCCATTCAGTATTTCTGGTTCAGAATGAAATGCTTGTTTTGGGGCTTATTAATATCAATACTTGTTCTTGTATGCGATTTTTTTCCTCCCCCCCCCCGCCTGTAAATCCACTGGGGTACTGTATCGAGCCTTTTGGCTTTCTGCAAGCATTGGAGAAAGGGGTGCTGCCTAAATACTGCAATAACTGCAATAAAATAGCTAAACTATAAATATATGTTAGTATTTTCAAAGATATGTTAGTGTTTTCAAAGCTTTAATTGCTTTACACACGTTTTCCAAAGAGACCTAGTAGTCCTTTCTCTTCCTGCACCAGGTTTTGAGCTCTGCATTTGATCCTCTGTCATTGCAGTCTGGACTCCTGCACATGTTAAAATGGACCCTTGAAATGCGGAGTCCTTATTACTGACAGAGATGGGGAAATGTTTTGTATTTAAACACTTGAAACCCTTCTCCCAGCTGTAGCAAAAGTAATCTCCCACAGAAGATACACATCTATTCTGTCTCGGTTGCACCCATTGTCCTTTAGCAACTGACATGAAGAACTGTTGACAGGAGTTTCATGGACCGATTGGTCCTCAGTTGAGAGGTTGAGGAAGTCGGGTATAGCTGTAAATCACTGCAGGTGACGGAAGAACTGTACCCTTTGATTACCTACCAGCAGGCAGCAGAGCAAAGAGTGGTCAGTCCATGGTTTTCCAGCAGTTTCCTGTCGAGTGACAGGAAGGGCTATTGGATCATAACTTGGCATGTTCAAATTGGTCCTAGTTCTATTTCTGGCCTTTTCCTTTCTGAGACTTTATTCTTCCCTCTGCTGATCTGCATGTGCCACTCTCTGGACTACCTATTTCTGTCTGCCTCTGACCTGATCTTGATTCTAGCTTCTCCATCTCTCTCAGGTTTCCCTTTTATTTCGAATTGAAAATCGCATTTGTGATCTGGCTGCTCTCCCCTTACACCAAGGGCTCCAGCGTCCTCTACAGGAAGTTTGTGCACCCAACGCTCTCCAATAAGGAGAAGGTACTTTCCTGTTGCCATGGATCTTGGCCTGCCCTGAAAGTTGGGTGATCTAAGTTAGGCCATAGTAAAACCCCCTATTGTATTATTTTAGTTTATGCTGCCTGCAGAGATGCACAGCTTTTGCCCTTCTAAAA